GCTGGACTCGTTTGAGTCCCATTTCTCTTTTTGGGGTTTTTGTTGTTCTCCCGCCCTGGCGGGGGGTCGGGCTAGAAGATCTACTAGGTCCCTTCCGACCCTTAATCTATGAATCTATGAATCTATGAATCTATGATTTGATTTGGATTCGGAGATTTGGCCACCGAATTGGGCTGAATCTCCACCAAATTGAATCGAGGACTGAAGCTTCGCACAACCCTAGTAACTGCCATGTTGGCATGCTCCTATAGCAATCAATGTGGCTAACCAACTGATACTTTAATCCTGAAACAGGCTTAAGAGTTGCAATATTTTTGCTATACTTGTAATTATGGAAGCAGCATAATTACTGAAGCAGTAAGATTACTGATGAGCTGTTCTGTATCATTTGATATCAACAGTTATACAGAAAAAACTTACGTCTATCTATACCTGAAGTAAGGACAGTAAAGTTAGGGCTGAATGTGGAATCCATCCAACCTTAGGGCATCTTACACACATTGTCACTTCAGAGGGAAGATGGCAGAAGCAGTGCCCAAAGATGTTATGCAAACTCTTCACAAAATGAAGTTGCACAGACATCTAACCCCCCTACTATTACACCCTTAACTGAGAAACATTATTTAATTGGATCATCTCTGGTTACTGAGAGTCAGGTTTTGATGTGGTTAGCATAAACTAGAAAAAAACTGACTAAATGCTGCTTATAAAAGAAGAGATTTATGCATTGGGTAAATATATCTGTTTGAGATCCCTGAAATAGCACGTCCAGCCTCAAGAGAGACCTATATTCAAGCAGTACATTTCTTGTCTGCCTGTCTTTCAGATGCCAACTGCTAAGTCAGCTGTTTGGTCTGCTTTGGTAAAGGCCATTCTCCTAATTAGTATCTGTACAGTTCCTTCCACAACAAACCTAGGGAGGCAGGAAAAAGTAACTTTAGGCTTTTTTTTTTTTTTGAGGAACCCCAAAAGCAAAAATTCTGATCCAGATGAAACACCATCCTCTGCCAACATAAAAAAAGAAAAGGTAAAAGAAGATTCTCTTGGATAAAGCGCTGTGTACGCGCTAGGCATTATTCTTCTAAATTTCCTCCCTCCATGACAATTTTTCCAATTTTCACATGCAAGGAAGACCTCAGTTTGCTCATCTATAAACAGGGATCAGAATGCTGACTTCTGGAGAAAGAAAAAGTCCACTAGATAGTATGAGCTTCAGTATGGATTACAGAAACTTAAGGACCCTGGGCATCTAGTTTTGTTGCTAGCTTGTGCTGATGTCTATACCTCCATGTCATCACTACCACTGCTATCTATGCTGGCTAGTTTTAAAACAGGAGCGGGTACCCAAGATTCAATTATACTTTCACTTCCTGTGTAGACATACCCTTCACAGGAATATATTATATTTTAAACAAGGTTCCCAAGAGAGCTATGTGCTTATTCTCTTCCTGAGAATGGGGAAATGGCCACTATTTCCCCATTGCCCAAACATGCAGAGATGGAAAGGCTGCATGTCATTTCCACGTATATAAGACACACAAATCTAGCTTTAAATTTTGGGGAATAAATGTTGCACTTGCAGTTTCTTCAAAAACTTAGTGCCAGCATTCTGCTTTCCAAATTCCCCCTATTTGAAATACAGGCTAACCTGAAGAAGTGTTTCTTAAAATGACACGGTGTTTAGGGGTGCACACTCACAGTATACTCATTCAAACTTGCATCTTCCATAGCAACCTATCAATTTCTTGTGGCTCTAATGGCTTGAGAAGCAGTTAAAAAGACAGCTGAATTAAACTGCTCCTCAACTTTAATCCTAGAGCAAGCAGAAGCTTGGGGAACACCAAACAGGCACTGCTTATAGGACATTTCCATGATCCCACTTCTGAATCAGGAGTCTCTGTACATGTTCACACTCCTAAGAACACCATGTAACCATGCACAGATTTTTTGGGGAGCGATTCGAGAAAGTGGCACTACTCTGAGAATTCTAGCTGGGTAGTTTCTTAAGGTTCCCCCCCTTTCTTTTATACTAATCTGAAAATACATAATCCAAAAAGTTAACTTATTAGATACAAATGGTATCTAATATACATATGGTTACAGAACTTATGAGAATCTGACATAACACCTATGTGATCCTGTTCATCACATCCTGCTGTAGGCTTTGATAAAATGTAAAAGTGACATTTTAAAAGGCAGCCTTTGTTGTTGCAATGTTGATAGACTATTCCTAAGAAATGGATGCATTACTTACCAGGAACAATAAACATTTGCAGTTTGAAGTTGATGAGTTAGGTATGTTGTACAAAGAATAAATGCCGTGTTATCTTGTCCCTCAGATTCCAAATTACATATGATGTCTAGTACTTCCTTGCAATCCACCTTTGCAATCTGTAAGAAAACACTTTCATATGAAAATGTACAGTCTGAGGTGTTAAAAAAGTTATTTACCTTAAAAACATATTTGACCTTCGCATTCTTTTTTCTACTTGCAAATATATTCATTTTCTTGTAGATGAGTGAACATTCGGGTGAAAAGAAAACAAAAATACTTAAAAAAAAAAAAAAAAAAAGAGTTCTGGAACAAGCTAGTTTTAAACATTTTCGTTACTGCCTAGGTCTCCTACCAGTTTGCAAGGAAAAATGTTAAAAAAGACAGGGTTCAGAAAAGGGTCACAAGAAACTACTCCAGTTCTGGGAAACCCTCTTTGCAGCAAGGCTCAGTAGCATTAGCTATTTAGTATTTCTGAAAGAAAGAAGACAGTTTGCAGCTTGGGATCAACAGGGAGATGATATTTTATACCAAAAGCCTCTAAACTGAAACACTGCAATTTTATATATTTTTGCCAGTTTTAGTGCACAGAATGGATGCTGAGATAGAACTACCAATCACCCCCTCCCTCCACTCACTGCATGCAAGCCAAGCTTTAAACTAAACAGACCGCATGGCATAGAAAGCCATGAGGGAGATACGTTAAGTACAGAGGACAGGCATGCATGCATTACCCCTGTTTTAGAGAAGCTAAGAGAACTGAGGCACGCAGATTAAAACTAACTTTTTGGAGAGGTCTGTTAAATTCTGAAGCTCCTCGGGAAATGCCTACTGCTTGATTTTTGGAGTATTCAGCATTTCTATGGGACTTTTCAATAACCCTCACTGGCTATAAAAAGTGCTGTGCACAAGAACAACCTGCTTTTTCAGCAGGAAGGTAAGGCCATTTGCCCAAGGCTACTCAGTGAATCAGTGACAAAGCAGGAGTAAAATTCAGGATCTCATGAATTATGTCTCTGTGCTTCTGCTTTCCAGTTATGTTGCCTTAACTAACGGAAGTAAGTGAACACCTGCAGTTGCTCATGGGCTGTCACTGTAGCTAAGTGCTATGTAATTCTGGAAATCGTGCCCCAGATGTCTCAAATTGGGGACAGTGAGGAAACAAGCACAACAACTGAAACAGATTTCAGCGATCTGCTCAGCACCATACAGAAAGCTCAAGAGAAACTAAGAATTTAGATTGAGCCAGTCTTTCTTTCTCTTCCTGGAATCCCTCGCATTATTCCAGGGTCCTTCCAACTTTGAGTCAATGAGATCTTAACTTCAGTTTCTCTCGCTCCTTACTCAGCCCTGATCTGTTCTCTGAGTATTATCTATTCATCTATGCACTGAATGCGACAGAGGGTTGTGAGGGGAGGAAATGGGGTAATAGATGGAAGCAGTATGCAATCACAATATATAAGCACAAAGAAGCCAATATTAAGGGGGGGAGGTTGCAAAGGCAGCTTTAAGTATGGCGTTTAACTTTTGAGAATTCGATATGGCAAATTTCAATATTCTCTTGAAATAGTTTTGCCAAATAAAAACTTTGTTCAGGCAAGTATCAGGTACTTGGATAAACGTATGCATTCATTTAGATTATTCCTGTGTAAGTGAAAAGCATATATCTTTACAACTGGATACATTGTGATCTTTTCATAATATACCCATTTTACCCCTCTACTTCTCCCTCCAGTTACTTCTATTGCATTTATTATAGAATGAGTGTTACTGTAACAGTAATGTCAAAGTTGAACTAACAGATGCATTTAATGAAAATCTAACATTTCCCAGATATTAGTGTGATTTTCCAGAATACTGAATATTTGTCTTGCCATGATTTCAAGTTGTGCTTAATTCATATACTGTTATGCTATTGTAAACAGTCAATGATCCAGAATCACCTTAAGCCTAAAACATTGTGACAAATTTTTACAAGAAAATATGGTTTTTATCATTTGATCAGTACATTTACTAACAGATCCTCTCTCTCAGCAGAAAGTGGCAAGCAAATCACTGGAACAGATGTACGGATACAATTGAGATAAAATATTTTATGGGTTTCTCAAATCTAGAATCCTGAACAGTTTTTTAATGGTAATGATGACAGACCCACATGGATGCCCCTATGGAAATAAGCATCCTTTGGCAACAAAAGGGAGTGGGGCTAAGGGAGATGGATACTGGCCTACAAAGGACAAGGCCCTGGATTCTCACCCTTGCCCCTTAGCACAACAGAAACTATTTTACTGTTCTATCACTTTTATGGAATGAGTATTAAAATGCAAGGTATAGAACAACCACTGGGGACAGCAGTCAGAATCCCAGGCCCTGTCCCTTTGAAGGGAATGTCCAAAGTACCCCATCTACAAGGCTACTAAGCTAGAAAGGGGAAAAAGGACCTCCCTTCTTCTCCACCAGGAAGCAACAGCTAGTAGCTTTTCTCTGACCACACAAACACCCACATGTAGGTAATCCTATTCCACCACTCAGTTTACATATCCATAATGGAGCATTCTGAGTATACTCAGCATGTATAGCCATAGTTGGAAATGGATATAACAATCTGGATAACTGCCAACCTGGTGTGCAAGGTTTTGCATAAGAACAGCATTCCATATGGTCTTGTACTACACTACTGTAACGAAGAGATGACGAAAACCTGATTTCAACAGCGATTACTCTCAAAATCTGCTGATGTTTTAAGTTTTACTGTTATTTTGCTGCCCAAAACATTAAGAAAAGAAAAAGTGGTTGAAAGTTTTACACAAGTCACATTTCCTGAAGTGTGGGAAGCTTGAAGGACTAAGCCACAACAGGAAGAAGATATGAACAATAAGATAACATTAACTATCACCAGCTAGGAATGCCGAGTGAGAGACTGCAATTTGTTCTATTTTCCTGAGCAAAACATTCAGAAATTGCATCCCTACACCTCTGCTTCATGGCTGTTCTTTCTAGGATTTCTTTTAAAGACAGAAACACGAGAAACAGACACATGCTTCTTCCAGGTCCCTCCCAGCACAATATTACCGCCTACTCTGCTCATTTGTTTAATCATAGGATCCTGAGACTATAGAACTCAATGGTCACTTTGGTTACAATCCCCAGAGCTTGTAAAAGGAAAGGGTCAGGACCCTACTAGTGATTCAGAGCTCCACCTACACTTACAGGTAGAGACTCCTGTTCAAATCTTTTAACATGACATTGATTTAATTCCTTAGCCAGAAGTTTTCAAGTTCTCTAGGAAAGCCAAGGGAAAAATATATTTTATCAATATTTCCAAAACTAAACAATGCTGCCATCCATTAAAACAGAATCTTATTAACTTTCCTGCAATAGCTTGATCTATAGAAGACTGAGAAAGAATAAGAGAGAAATGGTGATGTGTGGGGCAGCTGCGGAAGGAAGGGAAGCGGTCTCTCTTGAGGCACCGTAACTCGTGAATGTCTAATGGTTGTACTGGGGAAGCACAGGATGTACACAATGTCACAGATTTGTCTGATGAACCAGCTTATGCAAGACTTATAAGCACAATGGCTGACCTGGCCGGAAGCTACCCAGAGAAAGCAAGCAACATTTCTGCTCTCTCAAAAACAGGAAAGAAATGTTTTGTGCCTGGCATTCAATGAAACCAGCACATCTACCATCTTAAATCAATCTTCAGAGACAACCGAAGAAACAGTGACTAGCTTTAATTATTGCCCTCTTTAAGACTGTTTCTATAATGTTTTCTTAGGAAAGTATCTAAGCTGCTGGTTTTTCAGTCTCCAGGGTCTGAATATCCACATGTAATAACAGGTGCTAAATATTTTCTAAGCACCTCACAAGTGCTCCAATTGCTCTTCGCCTGTGGGAATCCCACAGGCTGTGCAGCGTCATCTTTCTATTCTGCTCTGGAAATTTTAAGTAGAGAAACAAGCAGAGAGAGATCAAGTGTGCCACTTGCTAAATGGTTAGAATGACATTATATGGAAATAATGAAAGAACATACAAATCTGTCATGAAACAGTGAATTTTGCTTTAGTGCCCAATCCCAACCATTTATCAGACCAACTAAACGGTTGGAAAAAAGTTCTTTGCAAGCTTTTGGGCATAAACCCCCTTCCCTTCCTCAGGCATTGGGAGACTGCTCCTGTTCTGAGTTCTTCAAGGTAGAAAAGAAGCTAGAGAGATTTTTAAAATAGAAGTCTGTGAAGATGCAAGTGAGTGGAAGTTTGGAAGACAAAGGGTAGAGATAGGAGGGGAGGGAAAAAGTGTAAAGGAATGCAGGTCCTCACACTTTTCCCTCCCCTTCCCCCCAGGCATTGGGACCTGCATTCCTTCACTTTTTTCTCTCCTCTCCTATCTCTACCCTTTGTCTTCCTAACTTCCACTCATTTGCATCTTCACAGACTTCTGTGCTTCTTTTCTACCTTGGAGAACTCAGAACAGCAGCAGTCTTCCAATGCCTGAGGGAGGGAAGGGTGTTTGCGCCTGAAAGCTTGCAGAGAATTTTTCCCCCACTATTTAGTTGGTCTAATAAAAGAGATCACATCTACCCAAAGAACCTTGTCTGCCTATGTCCTTAGACCAATGGGACTACAACCAACAACCCTGCAATCCCAACCATGGTTCTCTATGGATACTGTTATACCTGCTGATTTGTGATGAAGACTTTCAGCAAGTTATTCTGCAGGCCACTGCCACCACTGTGACCTTGTGTATTATTTGCTACACATTATTTGCAACTGGTTCTGAATGCACAAATTACATTTTCTCACTTTTAAGATGCTCATCACTGAAACATGAGTCTTACCCAAGTAGTTAATATTCACAACCTATGCAATATGAGTGCACTATCTCCATTTTACAAAGCGGGCAGAGGAATATATTATATTCAAAAGTATGCATTAAATTTTGCATGCCTACTTAGATGCCTAGGAGTTTTTCATTATTTTTTTCCATAGTATTCAGCATTATAGAGCTCATTATAAATGGGAGCTCTGCTTTGAGTACATAAACTGTTGGTAATTTTTTTTTGAGATTTCTCAGTTGGTCTAATAAAAAGGTATCATTTCTGAACCAACAGTCCTGGAGTTTTTGCATTTCTTAACAGTTGGCTCAGCACTTTCACAAATCAGACACATCTCTGGCATACTTGACAGCAACTGCAGAAGTCCCCCTGGGAGTGGCTTTGCACTGGGTTTCAGGTTTAGCATTTGCTAGTGGAAGCAGGCAAATGGGGCACATTTGAGAGAATCCTTCTGTTGGAACGCCAGAGTTAGTTTGTATCACATTCCTAGTGAGCCAGGACTAAGAGGGGATGAGACGGTATGTTTTACAGAAGTTTACCAGCCGAACAATGGTGAGACTCAAGAATCTTCAGCTGTAAACCAGATTCTGCAACAGGGTACTCTTATGGACACAGTATTTTTCCTATTTCTTACTAGAGTGATTACACTGGAACATAAGGAGAAGAGGAAACTCTTGGACCAGATCCTGTCCAGCCAGTCACAAGCAGTTACATAACTGCCATTTCTCTAAAAAGGCCCACAAGACTATCCAATCTCTCTCCTCTAACACACCACAACCATAAACTATCTTCCAACAATCTTAAGATCTGTAGTACCAATCACCCCCGCCCCCGCAATAAAACACCAGAGTTTTCAAAAGCCAAGATGTACAGGCAGTCCTCGGCTTGCAACGTTTTGCATTTACAATGTTTATAAATTGACACCGTTTCAACTTTATGACCTCAGTTTCGACTTTACAACGCTTTACAATGCTTGATCCAATGCGACGCCATGTCAGCGAACAAGTTCGCTGCGTCGCTCATCTCCCTGGAGAACATCTGTGCAAACTTCCTTGGACACTTTCTTTAAGAAAGCAGACAAGACCCCAGAAAAACCTGCAGCCAAGACTCCTGAGAAGACTCCAGACAGGACACGACTGCCAGGCAGCTGCGGTTGGTCTGAGCTCAGGGCTAGTGTCAGAGTCGCCTGCTCCTCTCTCTGCTTGTCTTATATTTGAGTAAACATGGTAGTATATTTTTTTTTACTCTACTGAGTAAATAAAATAGAAGAAAAAAAATCCATAAACAAATTCCATATAAAACAAAATTATTTTTGATCAAAGAAAAGTTTAGGTCACTAAGAACATCTGATCCCGAAGTTACTCAACTTTTCCACTTTTCTGGTTGTTACCAGAACAGTAACTTTATTTACTTGAATTAGAAAAGGTTCAGTGTTACCAACAAAAAAGAACACACTGAAGGGCAGACTCAGGTTTAAAACTTAAGACACTGGGAAATTTCAATAGTCACAAACTTATCACGCAGACTCTCTGCCCCCAATCAAAACACAAGTTATGAAGTATAACTTATACATGTCTCTAGCAGTAATTAAAAATATGTTCTGACTGTAAGCTACAGAATCTTTATACCAGTTTTAAAATTCTGCTGCAATTACTATCTTTTCTCTATATACCCAGTTTTTAAAAAAAATGCATCTGATAATCCTTAACATGTGCACGGTTTTATTACTAACCTCCTTAATGGAGTCTTCATTAGGCAGCATAGAGCACACACAAGTGATGTAAGCCTGACGAAAAGATGAGGCATTTGGAATTTCTGGAGAATCTGCACACAATTTTGATAAGGCTGTAGCTTGTGGGATGCAGTTTGACTTCATCAAATGTTTTATTCGCATCTGCAGAAAGGAAGGTCCTTCTCGTGTAATCAATTTATTAGCTAGGAACAGAAAAAACAAAACCAAACTTTTGAGAACACACAAGTTTCACTAGTTTACAACCGGCACTTATCTGAAGTTGTTCTAGCGTATTCATACAATCTTGATATAAAAAGGAACTGGGTGATGCATGGTCAATATCTGGAAAAGAGCTTCTTGTGAAACTCTAGATGTCAGCAACTCCAGCATATTGTTGGGAATACTAGCAGATATGCCACTGCTTAGATGCTGTAATGCTTTGAACAGAATATCAGAGAAAAAAATTCAGCAGTTGTGCTATTTCTATCTTCATTTTCTGTATTTTCATATTTTTACCGTGACTAGAAGACCAAGCTCAATAAAATAAAACCAGACAGAATAGATGCGTTAAAAAAAGTTTAAAAACTACCCAAATAGACAAAATATGTTTTTTAGTAAAATGTTACTTTTTGTGATTCTTTACAGATTCCAAATATATTAGGCACACATTTTAAACCTACTTAATATTAAACGACTGATTTTTCTTACCCCAAAACATCTGGCAATACTGTTACCAACCATAAGGGTACAAAGTAATCTTAAGTAACAACACTATTTTCATTAAAAGATTAAACAAAATTTAAAAAATACCAAAACAAACAAACCACAAACACACATCACGCCTCCCCCTTTAACTTTTGGTGACAGAACTATTTTTATTCATGCTAAAGAATAACCTGGTTGAGAACTTCAGACTGGCTTACTTTGGTTTCCCAATGAAGAATTTGTTCTTGCTGTATTTAAATAACTGGTAAATGAATGAAGTGATGGCACTATTTTTACATTCAGAAAAATAAAGCACTTTTACCCAGAGCTGCATGAACATCTATGGACTGGTCTTTGGACAAGTGCATAATCCATTGGTTTCCCAAACCTTGACTTATTTCTGAATGCCCAAGATTCTGCACAAAAAAAAAAAATCCCCATACGTGAAGTAAGTCTCCTAGGACAACAGAAATGTATACTGCACATCTTTGCTCTCAACAAAGGGAGAGTGTACTCCATTCAACTGCATAGCCTTACACCCAAAAAAAGGTTATGCATTTATGTGGCTTATGTACTTAAATTGGCACGTAGACTACTAGAGCTTGCTACAATACAAGCAATAGTCACCGTGTTATGCATTAAGCAAATTCCGTACTTGTCCACCATGTGAATAAGAGTATGGACAAATATTCCTTTAAAGTGCTTCAACTCTTGCTCTGATATGAAGTGCTTCAGCATTGTACAGACATGGTTTATGTTGCGGCCAAGCTCTGCAGCTAGGTAGCTTGAGAGAAGATATTTTAGGATCTCTTTCAGCCTGAGTCTCCAGAGGCCCCTAGAGACTGCTGAGTGGAGAGGAGTGTGTCCACTGGCTGTCTGTACCCCCAGCTTGTGACAAGCCTGCACTGCCATTGAAGGCCTGGTCAGTTCCAGAGGTGCGACGATCACCCCGAGGAGCTAGGAACAGCTGCCTACCACCTCTGTTCCCTGCAGTCTCCGATTGAGCAGACCCAGAGGTGATATCCTTCTTATTCAGCATGGGGTGGCGAGTCATGGCCTACATGGGTATGCTTTGCATCCTCTTCCAGTTCATGTACCTGGTGGCAAGGCAACACAGGACCATTGGAAAGGTTTCCCCTTGAGATGTACTACCTGCTCTGCACCACCAACTGCAGGGTGACTGATGATGACTCCATACAAGACATAACAGAGAACAGCCCTCTTGTGAATGGGACAACCTGCAGACCATGTATGAGAACTTCTGGGACAGGGAGAAGAGAGGCAGCTGGTAGGAGCAACACAGTCTAGGGGATATGGGATGATAAGCATTAGCAGTAGAATCTGAGAATGAGCTGTGCCACCTTCATGAAGAGCTGTGCAAGGCACCAGCATGATGGCACCCTTCACTGTAAACAGTGCCTGACTATTGCCATCTGGTACAGGATCAGCGACTTTGGGATGAGCTGGTCTATAGCAAGATCATCCACGCAAGAGGCGTGCCCATCATAGCTCAGAGTATATCAAATACAAGGGCTATTTTATTATGCTGCCAGGTATCACGGACCACCATGGACAACTTACTCATACGAACACCATTTAGCTGGATACAAGGGTATTTAGGAACTGCAGCATGACGACACAGGGGGAGTTTGCTGGTAGAGTTGCAGGCAGAGGTGAAAGGCATAAACAAATTCCCCTTTACTGCTACTTGGCAAACACAGAGTATCTGCTCTTCATGTGGCTTGCGGAGCCTTACACTAGGCATGTGGATTCCAGGAAGGACCTTTTTTAACTAGTGGCTAAGCAGCTGCTTCAGGTTCATGAAGTGCACCTTTGGGTACCTTGAGTGCCCTCCCCTCCCCCTTCACCCCCCCGCCAAGCACTAGTAGTGTGCCTGGATGCCTCTTACTGCAAGCTGCCTTGGATAGTTATTTCTATCTGTATTCTCCACAACTTCTGCAAAGCCAAGGGGGGAGCCTTTCTGGAGGACTAGGCAGAGAAAGCCTGGCAGCTTGAGAACCATTATGCTGCAGCAGAGGCCAAGCCTTTATGACACAACAACCATCTGGGCATTCGTTTTCATCAGTGACACTCTGGCTATCTGCTTTCTGCAGTGCTGGGCTGCAGAGCAAGAGGACCTAAGCAAGTGAAGATTGAAAAGCATGGGGCAGATCCAGCAATGGTTTTGTGAGCCTAAAGAACTTTTTATTCAGCAACAGAAACAGTCAAGAACTTGTGTTTTATTAAGAGAACAACAAAAATGTACTTTACAAACCGCGCCGGGGGGGGGAATGAAGGGTGCTTTTTCAACTGTTGGGAAGGGGAGGGGCATGGCAGACAGTCAAACTATACCCTGTCACTACTGAGGCCTCAACAGATGCCTCGGGAGGACTGGGGTGCAGTGGCATGGCAGCATGCCACCACACTGACTGGAAGGGTTAGAGAGATTCAAGTCTCAAGTTGCTGCTCCCTCTACTGATCAGAACTGTCACAGAGTCTGTGATGCAGGGGAGTTTCTCCAGACCCCAACACCATGAAGCACAGGCTTTTGAATTTGAGTTAGTGTGGGGATAGGTGCTGGGGGTCCCAGTACTACAGAAGCAGAGGCATGGAAGGGCTATGGAAAGCCACATCCAGAGTGTGGTTGGGAATATGACTGCATTAGTTAACCAAGGACCTGATCTCTGGCCTGCTGTGAAGACAGAGGGCAGCTCTCGGCATCGCAAACTGGAGAACAAAATGCATGACCAGAGGATAGGAACTGAACCCCATGGAGTAAAGATCTTGTTCTGGGTAAGGATTTGGTGAGAATACAGGGGTAACCCTACCACAGCTGGAGGTTGGGCTGGCTGGAGGCGGAGGACAGAGGGTGTTCCCAAGGTACTGCTGTCAGTAGTTTACAGGGCTACTGCTGGTGAGGACATGAAGGAAGAAGGCTGCTGCTAAAAACCTTATCCCAGAGACTGGCTGTATCACCGAGGCTTGGAGGAGGAAGCTGTCCCCACAATACATCATCGAGGGAAAACGATGACACTGGCAAGACACTGATCCTGACCGAGGAAGGTACCGACCATGAAGTTTTCTGGTAGAGGCTGCTGTAAATTATTCTAACCCTGTTGAGAATACCGCTGGACCCATGATTGCAGCGGGAGGTTCAGCTCATGCTGCAGAAGGAGGACCTAAGCTTGTGCTGAGGGGCAAAGTTCTCTGAATGTTCTCCACCTGCCTGCTGAGCATAGGTATGAGACAGTCTACTGGCTGTCTCTCAGCCTGGAGGGTGTCCACCAGCATCTCCAGTCTGCCTTGCCATGCCCATAGACTCTCATTGCTTCTGGCCTGGAACACACCTGCGTGTCTTGCCTGAATCATGCCCCACCTTATCAGGTCAGTGCAACGGTCCTGGTGCAACTCCATTCTGGCCCTCCATTCCTCTGCAGCAGCAGCCGCCCTCCTTTCTGATTTTGTAACCAGATCAATCAGCATCTCTCCTCCAATCACTTTCTCCTCCAATACTATGAAACTCTGCACCGCAGTTTTGGGCTGGGGAATCTCTCCACCTACTACAGTGGGAGCTCCACTTGCAGCAGGTGTTGACCCTGAAATGACAGCAGGGAAACAATGGCCTTTTGTTAAACTGCTGTGACATGAGGATAATGATGAACTCCCCAACTCATCTACACATTCCATCTCAGGAGCCTCTCCACTTCTGCTTCCAGCTGCTGAGATACTAAGTTCCCAAGCCCAAGTGCTCCAGGACAGGGAAAATGACAGCCCTTCCCACCCTCCAAAACCTGGCCTAGGATGCTATTTCTGGGCCCCTGATAGCGTTGTAATATACTGGGAGGTCCAGAGACAGGGCATGAGAAGTATGGGCATAGCCAGCTCCCTGGGTCTGGGCCCATACTGTATATTCTCTCCAGTATCTCCCCTAATTTTGCAAGTTGTTTTCTTCTGTAGAGACATCTATCTGTTCTGCATGACCATGACCCAGATGGACACTGTTCTGGACAGCTCTACAGACTCCCACAGACATGCAAGGGGCCAGCTCTGATGCACTGGAAATTCAGTGCAGAGCAGACTCGATTAATCAGGTGCTTAATTAGTGTGGCTCACTTATTAAAGCGCCCCCCGAAGCACATGTAAAAATGCCCTGTATGTGCTCCTGAGTTCTTGAAGATGGTTCTGCCCAAGGATCCTGCCTCCTCAAGAGGACAAGCCCATTTTGGTGGCTTTATAGAAAGGAGAAATCTTCCTTTCAACATGACATCCCAGCAGACATTGCATCTCCAGAGGAAGTTGCAGTGCCTGTCCCCTAACAATGAGGAGTAAATAAAGAATACCACTGACTCCTTCCTGGCCTAGGAAGCCCAGTGAAAAGGGACAGGGGGGCGGGGTGGGGAGGAGATCGAGAAGGGAAGGGAAAAGAAGCCTGTTTTTCTATCACCTGAGAAAGGGAGGAGGGGGAGAAGAGGAAGGGGTAATTCACCTCTTCAGAGGCACAAAACAAAGTGCTAAGCTGCCCACTGGTGAATTACCTGGTAACTGTCCCTTAAGTCCATAAATACCAATCTGGAAAGGGCAGAACAGTGAATGTCCACAGGTGGACTGCAGCCACCTTGATCACTTAGTTGTTCCACTCCGAGCATATCTAGTTCCTATTATGGTCAGGAGGTGGTGTTAATTTCCTTGGTGCTAGCTAGATGCAGACACCAGACTCCCAAAGAGGAGGATTGGTGGGCATGAATGCACACCCTCCTAAACTCTCAAGGCCAACTCTCCACTCCCCCACCAGCTGTTACTGGAACTCCACCCTTGAATATTACCAAGCAAAATATTCCCCTTTCCCACCTTCCTGCAACCTGAAGCCATATTTTCACATGCAGGTATATTTAGGGTTCCCCATATCAATATGCAGTGACAATGTAGACTCCCACCCCAAAGAAGCCTGAAGATGCTGTGGAGATGGGGGGAGGGGAAGGAAAGCCACTGATGCTGTCCATGTGCTGCAGTGGTGCATCTTACCTGATGGCTGGGTGGCCATTTATGCTGTCTATGTCTCAAATATTGGAGGAGGACTGGCTTGTTGCAGACAGCCACTGGAGAGGGGAAAATGCTTTGTTGGTAGAGGTGGGAGGATGGTTGGCAGGACTGTGAACAGGCAGTTGGCTGTGAGAATGAGGGGATAGTCGGGCATGTTGCTGACTGGCCGGGCTGGCATGAGGATGAGGGACAGTCAGCTGGGAAGGGCCAGGCAGGCTGATATCAGTGGCATCAGAGCAACCACATCTGGACAGCCTATTTTGGGATTACCAATCAGAAGGGACTCCCCACAGATATCCTCTCTCCCGTGTCAGAGCCAGGGACTGGAGGGGTCCTCCTGCTCCTGCCTGTCAGTTGCTGCCAGCCAGAATCGGCAATGGCAGCTAGCAGGCACAAGTCACCTCCCACAACCAAACTAGTGTCATGGGCCTTCTTACACTGCACACCTTCAGTACTTTGTTTTGGCATAGTACTAGTGCCAGTCGTAGTTGTGTCCCCAAAATGCTGTTTCAGGAGATATGCTTGTAGACAGCCTAGTTGGTGTGGCTCATCCTCACTGAACACCAAGTGTTTCCATATCACCTGGGGCACGAAATTCAATACCTCTGCCTGCCTGTAGTCCACTACCTTGAGAACACATAAGAGGGTAGTGCTGCTGACGTAGTTGCTGACATGCTCCGAAAGGTCCTCACCACTCTTCAGTTACAGGAGAAGTCAAGTCTTTTGGGTAGAGGGGTCCAGCAAAACAAAGGCATGACATGCTTTTCCACTTAGCTGTAAGTATGTGAGGTCACATGCCAGCCAGGTCCTGTGGCCCTACAGCAGCAGAGTTCAGCATCATAGAAGCAGGTCTTCAGATCAGTAGGGTGGAAGGGCACGCAAAGCATTGTGGAAAGCCAGAAGACTGATCAACTCCCTATTGTACTCTGTCGAAGGGTAAACATGAAGTGTTTCACAGTGAAATGCTTCAAAGTTGTTTTAACCTGGGTCATTTCTGAGGAAGAAAGGCCCGATTTGAAGCATTCTCTAAAAGCACTTGAAGCACTTTAAATGCTACATCTGTCCATACCCTAAAAGTGAAGTGCACTGTGTCTACATTTTGTCCAACTTGCCAAACATTATTGCATTGTAAACTTATTTTTGTCATCCCACTTGCACTGAATTCTGATATATTTCCACATTTACTTGTTCTGTTAAAAAGAGGTTTTCATCAGAAAAGGAACCAGACAAATCTTAGACACCACAAGGAATTCTCAAATTGATTAAGGATTCCTTTCCTCACCCTGGCTACCACTTTGAAATGGGTGTTCCTTGAATTGTTCAATCAGAAACAAATGACAACATCAAAAACCAGAACACTGAGTGCATTATAGGACATAAGAGAATTCAGTTTTGATTACAGTATTGGGTAATTATGACTCCAAGACAAAGCAAGCTCAACGATGTGTTGGAAATAGAAGTAAATACCTCACAGAAGTTTGAAGTGTTATGAACAGTACTGCCTGTGAAGGTGCAGATCTTGTCATTTTTGTGTTTTATAACATCAGGATAGGTATACCTCAGCTCCATCCTAATCATCAGCTAATGCAATTTGCTCCACTGAAACACTGAAGTCTACTGCCTGAAAGGGGCAGCAGCATTTCTGTTTAGGCAATCCTGAGAGAGCCAACTAAATTTTGTGGCACATTATCCTGCTACTTTCTCTCTGCTCCACAGATGCTAACAACCCTCTATCCTTTTAATGGTCTTGATGTTTCACACTAGTCAGACTAGCTTCACTTCTGAAATATTGTTGCCTGTTAGCCATTCTTGGTAGTCTCTCTTCTATTTCAAAGCTGTGCAGAATGTTTTGAGCTCTAGCTAAAGGTCTTAATGTGCCCCAATTACCTGTGGGAGCACATTTCTCACAAGAAAACCACTCTCTCTCCAATCTCTCAGTCCTGATCCTCAAAGGAAACTTATAAAACACTTCCCAGAGATGAGCCTATGAACTCCACTTCATCAACCTCCTGGCTACTAAAAATCATGGGACTAAATATAGACATTGGATTTATGACACGTTATAACCTGCCTGACATCTGACTCCCCAGGTATCTCTCCACTATTCATTCCCTACCCCCAGCCTGTCTCTCACCCATTGACTCCTCAATCTGCATTTTCACCGACTACCTGTCTTGTATGCAGACCAGCCCAGCCTCTGGCTTCTTTACTTTTCATTCCATCCAGAAAGAGCACACACCAACTGCTGAAAAACTTCCTTAGCCTGACGAAGGGTTTTTTAGTCTGCAAGCTTGCTTAATAATGGTTTTCCAACTATTTAAGTTGGTTTAATAAAAGATACCAGATTCACCCAAAGAACCTTGTCTGAATAAGAAACATGCATTTAACTATAATGACTACAGGATCAAATGACAACATCTTTTGATTATTTTGACTATATTTTGCCTAGTTGTTTTTTATAGTACATATATTAATTTAGGAAATTGACACACATTCTAATAGTTTTGTTTCTGCTTTGATCTTAAACAGAATAATACAGTGCTAACCCCCAGCACATTAGCAAAACATCTAATTTTCTTTAACTGGAAAAAAACAAATGTTGTGCTTTATGTGATGATGTGTTATCCTATCTTCACCCCCCCCTTTTAAAATCCTAGATCCATGTGGCCTTTTCTGTATATCTTAAATCAGCAATAGCACATATGCCCAATTACTTCTTTTGTTTCACTTATTTCCAATTTCTGCTTAAAACTGACACATCTATGCCAGATGACCCACTCTAAACAGCAAAAGGAAAGATACCCCATTTTGATAGGACACTTGTCTGGCAGACTATTTTTTATAATGGAGTTTCAAAATATCCAGAAATGTATTGTTAAAACAGGCCAGAGAGAAATGCAGTAGTGCAGATGGATTACTGAATATGGTGCCAGAGAGTCTGTTTCATGATAAATCTGGATTAGCAAATGATTAGCAGTGAAAATGGCATCAAGGGAAGTCTTAACCAATTCTATACTAATAGTAAGTTTAAGCAAACAATCCTTGCCCACAGCCAAAACAATAATTGAGTTAAGTCACAGAACATCATGTTATACAGCATCAGAATCTCAATTCTTACCTTCCTCTGTGTCTACTGGCTGCTGAGACAGAATCTTAAGAAGAACTGGATTTTTCCATACTCCTTCCTTAGTGATGTCAACCAATATTTGGAGGTTATTATTCCCAAATTCCAGTAAAGCATCATGTGATTCCTATAAAAGTAAGAAACCCAAGATCCATTACCACTGTAAGGTAAACTTTAAGACTAATTTGGGAAAGAGACTACCAATTATACAACTAGAAAACAATTTCAACACCTTTCAGCTACATCATGGTCATCCGTAATGCTTTATTTCTGTATCAATTGACTCATCACGAAGTTTTTTTGTCAAATTTTGGGTATATTCTGGGACAAGCTTACCTAAATTCTACAGCACTGAGAATCTGACAGAAGTTTTTATCAAGTCAGATAGAAAAACAGTAACTATGGTAAACCCTGTGCTATATGTTTTCATGTTAAAATGAACATGTATATTGTTTCTAGCATGCCACCTTTTTCTCTCATTTCAACAGATTCATAGAAGCTTAACTTTGGAAGAAGCCGAGAGGACAGCTGAGACATTTTTTGCTTGACAGAGTGGTGCAGTTTGGGGAAGTATGTGGGGGTTTGTTGTTGTTGTTTTATTTTATAAGAGTCTTGGAAGTTTCTCATATTAAATCAGTGAAAGGCTATTAAAAATCATAGAATCATAGAGTTGGGTCAGAAGGGATCTTGTAGATCTTCAAGTCTGACCCCCTGCCTGGGCAGGAGAAAAAACTGGGCTCAAATGATCCCAGCTAGGTAGGCATCAAGCCTTCTCTTAAAGACCGCCAGGACAGGAGCCACTGTTGATCGTTAAGGGTTAAAAACATTCTACTGAGATAAGATGGGCCAGTCTATATTTCAAAGATGACAGCTATTTACCCAGCAGTATTTTTGGGAACTTTTATCAAGGTGGATCCTACTATAGGTGCACGTGTGACTCAAGCACACTATGAGAGTCTTCTGAATACCGATGCCCTCTAACCCACAAGTTGAACTTTTTATCTCCTTGCACTTCCTTGAAAAGAGTTACGAATGGAATAGTACGTATTCTTGTTTCCTCACAATCTGAGACTCAAACTAGCTGAAAATCCCAACAGTAAGGATGGAGGTCACACTGACCACAAAAATGAGTGACTGCAGATTAAGCAGCCATTCTTCCTTCAGGTATAGGTTCCACTGCAGGTGACTGAAGGCAGTACTCCTGAGGAGTACTATTAATGGCCACCACTCACCCAACACCATGTTTCCCAGCCTGTGGGGAGCCCCACAGGGTAAACGCAAGGGCTCCATGGGCACCCCCGTTCTAGAACATTTAGGCAAATCCTACATCTTCTAGGGATCTGCTCCATTGCTTCTGTAAATGCTCCAAAAACTTGACCCCAATACATCCCTGCTTTAAGGTTTTTGTTCCCAACACCCTCCATAACATTAACTATCTTCCCAACCCCCAACCAAGCTTTTGAGTTCCAGACACCAAGCCAATTCCTTTGGGACCTGAGATGCCACCAAGACTGTGTCCATCTGGAGACTGAAATAAGTAGATGGACCTGAATTACTCTTCTGACTTTACTGACAAGTAAATTAAGCATTCTTCACTTCTGCACCCTCCCACAAAAGCCTCACGTCCCTGAAGAAAGAGAAGGGTAAGACAAGGAAGAGACTAGATAAGCTGTGAGTAAAAAAATTAAATGCCCACTTGTCCAACTTAATAGTAAACTAAATATGAGGAGGAGGAGCAAGGCAGCTCTTGAAAGCGGTGGTAAGCTCAGATCAAATCCATTTTAACTTTTGCTTGCATCAAACCCACCACCTTGATAGTGTCAAGCGAGCACGAGGCACAGACATTCCTTCTAGAGTTACAGAATCATAGAAAATGAGAGTTTGCAGGGACCTCAGGAGGTCATCTAGTCCAACCCCCTGCTCAAAGCAGGACTATCCCCAATTAGATCATCCTCGTGAAAATGCTTCCATTAATACTGGAATTGTTACCTGCTGTAAATAGGAATCCCCACTGATAGTTTGGAGATACTGCACTACGTGCACAGCAGGCATTCAAATGGCAAAAGCCATCCATAAACAAAGGCTTGACTATTTTTTCTCCAAGTTTTAGGTACAGAATAAGGCACAGCAAATCCATGGTGAAAAAAAGCATGCATTGTAAAATATATTGCTGCTCTTATCCTAACCATACTCTTAAGCAGCAACTGACACCAAATCTGGTACAGAAGACCACAAAAGTAACAGCATTGCTGTTTTATTTTTGCTTCTAGGAACTTTATAAAATCCATAGAAACAGCCTAAACATCAGAAATAAGAGTCAAATTTATATTTTGAACGCTTCAACACAACACAACTTCATTGGGCTGACAAAAGTATAAGACAATAGGTAGGGATCACTGATAAAGATTTTTTGGCCGAGACCGATGTCTGATTATTAGCCAACCATATTGGACGACACTGATCCAATTGCCGATATGCAGCCCAGCAGCTTGGAAAGCAGCGTCCAGCCAGTAAGCTGGGTGGGGAGAGGGGGGAACAGATCGAGCTGCCCACAGTGAGGGAG